TGAGAGCACTTTGGTTTCCCTGTAGTTTAAGAGGGTGATGCAAGAGAGTGTTGGATAAAAAAACAATGATATGTCACATCTGCTACGACAGCAAGCTATTTTAGCAGTAATATTTGAACATGTCAACTCATTTACACTGACATAACAAAATCACTGACTGGAATTAGACAAAAACTACAAACACACGCACTGCATGCAACTATCCATGCAGCATTCAGACAAATTTGGGTTTTAGAAAATGTTAATTGTAAGTGAGCCCCGTAACATTATTCCTTTATAAGTCAATTTCAGGCAGATAATTCCTGCTTTCAGATCCACTAAAATGGCAGGTGACAGTCAAAACAAGCTGATCTGTGCTGTCTGAAGAAAAGGTGGACACTCATCTTTCTGAAAAAAAAAAACTTTGTTTAAAAAAAATTGGTTTAAAACTGAGTACCATATAAAAGCTTAATTGTTTTTTTTCTTTTTATTTGTTTAACTACTACAATATTATGTTTATTTTTTATCAGCAGCTTTTTGGTTTTGAGTATAAGGATTTGCTTTATTTGCTGCTTAGTAGAAGCCCTAGGAGTACAGCTCCATCACTGTTCAAAGTAAAAAAAAAAAAAAAAAAAACAAGATCATACTTTTATAATATCACATGGTTTCCACTACATTCCTTGTTCCATGGCTGAGCGCCACACTAAAATTCATCCAGCCAGGGCTACATTACAGCTTCTCATTCAAAACATACAGTCGTTGTTGTTTTTTAAATAGCGGGTTATAATCACACCAAAGCGTATTAAAAGGTAAGTGAATTATAACAGCACAAACTTTAATCGTAGTAGTGCTGTGCGTTATTTGTTTAACCCTTTAAGATGAAATTCAGAATGACAGGTGCGTGATGCGTGAGGCCAGCAAACACAACGTAGCTTTCAGTTAAGATGAAAATAGTTTCTATAGTTATACTTTATAGATAAGGGTCAATGGTTCTATGTTTCTGCGTACAATGACTTTAACTCTTGCTGGAGTTAATAGCCATTTCTCTTTACTTCAGAATGCATTAATGGCACTAGGTCTATTGGTCTATTGGAGAAATACATAAATATTCTTAGCAAGTCTTATAAATGTTGGAGACATACTTCTTACATAAACACACTAAATCGCACTTCAGCAGCGTTTATTTGCGAGCGCACAAGAACTACTGCGTATGAGCACCATATATTTGAGAGGGTGAGCAAGAAGTTTTGTGCATGAGCAGAGGCAAAGAGATTCGGATGCTTATATTACATAAATGCGCTCATGACATTTCTCAATTTGTCATTGAAATAACGCCGTAGGTAGTTGGTAGATTTGTATAAAAGGCCTGCTGCCACAGCTGGAAAAAAATCCTGGAGGAAACACTGTTTTTTTCTTTTTTTTGCTGTCGAAAACACACCGAACCTTGACACCACTGTGTTGTATCGAACCGAACCGTGATTTTTGTGAACCGTAACTCCGTATATATATATATATGTTAGTAACTAGTAACTATTTACTTGAGCAATTTTTTCATTAGATACTTTTTCACTCTTACCCGAGTAGCTTTTAATATTGTTACTTTTACTTTAGTAAAAAATTCAACAGGTATTTGTACTTTTACTTGAGTATAGATTTTGCCCACTCTACCCACCTCCACAGCTGCTCTAACAACTTGAAGGAATTACAATGTTAATGAATTTACATTTTATTTAGTATTTTTGCCAACTTTGAAAGGATTCACTTCACATTAGGCTTTCCAATTTCCTTTTTACAATAACAATGCATTAGCATACAAAACCATCACTGATGTAAAGTTGGTCAACTAAAACAATACAATATAACATCAGAGATGGTCGGTTCCCAATAAACGAAGGAACAAACGAGGGGAAAATCATTCATGGAAAGAGTTCAGTGGAGCCATTAAAACAGTCTGTTCCTTCCAGCGCACAAATGTAAGGGACTGCGGACTGACACCAGCTGTTATGTGACACACAGCTTAAGAAAACTCACTATTCATTCACTTCTAGAATCTCTGAAAAGGTCAGAACAAACGCAACACAAGAACGCTTTCACTACAGTCCAGGTAATGCTCAAATCCTGCTCTTTAAAACAAATAACCTTTGGTTACACTTTTCAAAGCAATAGCTATAGACCGCAGCTCTGCACAGGAAGTTTGGCCGGAGGAGAAATGGTTGTGCCCAACTGAGCCTAGTTTCTCTTGAGTCTTTTCCTTCACTTTCGTCAATTGGTTAAGTTTTTCCTCGCCAATGTCGCCACTGGCTTGCTTGGTTTAAGACTTGTGTTTCTGCGCCTAGATTGATTTGCTCTTCAGTGTTTGGACTTTCCGTAGTGAAAATTAAACCACACTGAACCGAACTAAACCTTAACTCTGAAAACTGGCACTGTTTCAATTTACTAGAACTTCTAAGTTAAGCTGCTTTAACACAATCCACAATGTAATTAATGTAATTAATTGTAAAAAGCACTGTAGAAATTAAGATGAACTGAACTGAATCTGCTGATTTAGTTCCCGAAAATGACTCTTTCATGAATCACTGAATCTCTAGTCCAATTTCTTGGTTAACAGGGACATAATTACAAAATTTAAGTCAGAAAGCTTACAAAAAAGTGTCAGGGGGATTCAATGACAATCACTTTCATTTTTTTATAGACTATTCATTTTAAAGACAAAGGCTTTTGATTCAAACATCAGTGAGAGATCTGAAGCCCTCTATTGTGTTTTCTTCTAAAACTCTGTGAACATATTTTTGGTTTTGGAAGCCATGAGCTGAAGAAAAGACCAGTCTCTGCACTTGCAAACCCATTCAGATGGTAATCCGAGCTTCCTTTCATCATGCAAAAGGGGACATGAAATAGGAAACAGCTTTTTTCTTATTCTTTTGAAACAAGAGTGTAATGACCAAGCAGACATATGCTAATATTTATGCAAAACTCATGTCTACACAGACAACTTTGAGAAGCTGCAAAAATGGTCTGTTCAGAGAGCTTTGTGCTTATATAATATAACCATGAGCTCATGAAAATGACAATTTGCATGTCAATGACTATTCAGCTGGTCTAATTACTAAATTGCTGAAGGTATGCAGACATTAGACAATTATAACCGGTTCTATAGGGATATATTAGGAATTTGAATGCACTTAAAAATAAATGATTAGTTAAAGAAAGATGTTTTTGAATTAAATTAATGTGTTTTCTGTTTATTCATGCTTTTCAGTTGCATTACTTATTATTACTTATTATTGCATTATTAAGAACTTGTTCTTTGCTCGGACAACTTTATTGTTCAAAAGTTTAACTTACTAGTTATAAATTACATTAAAAAAATATTGTATAATGTTATATAAATATAACATAATTATATATTGTAATATATATATAATGTTTTCATAATATTTTTATAAATTATAGTTTTAGTTTTGAAAATGTACCTCTGCACTTTAAAAATTACTATTTTTAATAGTTTGAAACAATAAAACGTATGGATCTCTCTCTCTCTCTCTCTCTATCTGTCTGTCTCTCAATGTAAATACAATGTAAAGATAAACCTGTGAGGGTGCTTTCACACCTTGTTTTGTTCTGAAACAGGGATTAAAATTATTACAACGTTGCTTTTGTTCTTGGTGCGATTCGCTTTCACAAGGCAAAGTTTCTAAATGGACCAAAATAGTTTAAAAAGTCACATGCAAGTAAACTCTCCTTACATTGGTCAGTTTATTTTTAAGAGTCCCATGGATTCCGCTCAGCTGTCATACTTGCTATTTTCATTTATGATGATGAGAAATTATATGCGAAAAGGTTCACTTTAACTTCCATCACCAAATATAAATCAGAGGTAAGACTTTCTCATACATGGCCTCATTACAGATGTTTAGGGTTGTTCAAATCTATCTATTGAATCAATTGATCAATCTATTGCTCGTCATTTTTGTAAATTCAATTTGCTATTTTAAAATAAAAATAAGACATTTAATAACTTTGTTTTCATTATTAATTTTGAGCTTAAAAAATGGCTAGATTTATGTATTATAGGCTTACTTTATAGAGAGAAGTTACAGGTGAATCGAGACTCCAGTCAGATGAGATTTCTTTCAAAGTGTCAGTGTAGAAATAAACAAAACAATAGACCTATTAGAAAATATTATAAGATTAAAATAAGAAAAAATATCAGATGGTTATTTCAGATAAACAGCACTCGGTAATACTTTGATATGCTTTTTAACTTCTTACTCGATATGAAATGCAGATTTACTGGTAGGAATGACGTCCCTCCCTACTCATGATTCTCTTTTCATATTGCTGTATGTATGGCCATTACACAGCCATAATACACTGTGATATATCCAGGTTCGTTAGTTCGTTTTGCTTTCTCACTATAATAGATCTGCCCCAGAATTCGTTTTAATTGACCCTAGACCCTTTATTCAGGTGATCTTAGACTGATTGTTTTGAGGCGGATTTAAGTGTGATTGCGGGATTCACATATGCCAAACGAACCGCACTAACTAAGCATACGAGTCAGGTTCCAAAACAAACCTCTGCACCCTGAAATGTGAAAGCATCCTGAATACAGTAATACCATAATACAATTCAAAACTGTAAAATATTTGTTTATTAATGTATTAATTTTACAGTTTAAAATAATAAGTAAATTATATGACTTACTGATCTGAATAATTGTCCGTTTGACTGTTTGAAACAGTATGGACTGGTTTCACTAGAAGTCAGTGTTTAAAATAAACCACTATTCTTGTTATTTTGTTTGGCGACAAACAAATCACACACTTCGTTAAAGCCGTTTCCTATTTAAAACATCTGAAAACAAAGAAAGCAGGAGTCCTTTAGGGCACTTCAAGAGGTTTAGAGCTTGTTTAACAAGCTGCCATTCAACATGGATTCTCTGAGAACTAACATTTAACAAAGCAATGAGTGTTAGTAAGTCAGCACAGGAGGTATAGATAGTAAGGGCAGAGTTTAACCTGAGGCGCTGGAAGAAGGGTTGAGCACCAACGGGCTGGTGGACAGTGTGGTCAGGACGGTGGCGGCCATTACTTCTTTATCAGCATGACCAGAAGGACTCCTGTTAAATGAGAAAGAGAGAGAGAGAGATTAGGTTTCTAAACCATTAGCTATTTTACCATCCATATACTGTTATGTACATTTTAGGTACATAAAAATTACATACATGGTACACATACATAGTAAATAAAATAGTAACTTTGCATTTACACCGCCGCCTGGCGAGAGTGTCGGAATTTGCTTTGGCCACCCTCACAATCAAACAAGTTTACTGTTTTTTAAATTAAATAAACCAATCTTATGCTGTTTGTGTAGTGAGATATTTGTGTTCATGTTTAAGCACTAGTCTAATTTCTGCATGCTGTTTATAGAAGATGTTGAATAACTATAATAATAATAATAAGTCTTCACGCTAATGGTAATTTTTGCACATTTTACATTACAAACCGAGAAACCTGCACAACAATCATCAACCTCAGCCTTTGTTTTGTTTGGGAATTAATGTGGTCTGTAGCCCAAAGTTTATTAGTCCAAATTGTCTGGAATCCTCTCAAGTGGTCGACTAAAACCTTCTGATAGGTTTCCATCGAACCCTGTTATATTTCATTACCATAAAGTTGACCTGATTTCAACTTTTTTTTGACGCCCACTTTATCCAAAACAAGCCACGCATTGAAAATTAATGACTTCTAGCTACTTTGACACTCTTAACAGTGACGAACGATAACACCAAGATGCACATTTAATCTCAAATGGATCGTAATGTTCCTGAAAAAGGCATGCAAAATCATGAAGCCAAAAGGTCTTTACAGTACAGTTTGAGAAATCCCTCAATTTAAGTTTATTGTAGTTCGCAAGTTTTCTTTTGTGGACACAACTTACAAAACATGCATTTAAATAATAGGAGCAGAGCCTAGATGAGTTGTGTCAATAGTGTGTTGTTTTCATGTCCGAGATATTTTGCTTGACCGGTCTAATATGCTGATACTCATGAAATTTATTCCCCCACTGTTTACATTCATTCACACATACTTTATGCACATTTTTGTGTGCTTTTTACAAAAACTTGTGTGTATTTGATAGTTCACATAGAGAGAGGTTAGTTTATTATTTACGCAATGTACTTTCTGACAGAATTTCTGCGTGCTAAGAAGGGGTTAAAACTAACAAGGCTTTTCAAACACGTGTTTTGTTTGTTGTTATGGTTATTTATTAATTATGTCAGTTTCCCAGAATGTGATGATTTTCTTCTCTTGAACACATGACATTGAATTTTTGAAAATGAATATTTTGCATAATCTGAAATAAGAATGAATAGGCTTTCTACTGATATATCGTTTATTAGAATTGGACAAAATTTGGCCAAAATACAATCTGGATTCTGAATAAACATAAAAAAAATCTAAATATTGAGAAAATTGTCTTTAAAGTTAGAAAAAACAGGTTTTCATATATTTACAATAGATTTTATATATTTATTATGTTTTGATATATATATATATATATATATATATATATATATATATATATATATATATATATATATATATATATAAAACAGTGTAACATAAGACTGCTTCTTGTGGTTCAGTGTCACAAATGTGTTTACAAACATCAAGAATCAGAAAGCAAGACCACATGACACTGTTTGTCACTGCACATGTCATTTGATTTAAGGTAATTTATTATGTAGGGAAATAAAGCTACAGCGGTTTCCTTAATTATAACTGACTGTTTGCCCCAGTTTTCCAGTTTTTGAACAGTGTAATGCATGTAATATTCCTACTTTCTCAACTTACAAATCATAAAGTTCATTCACAATGCTGAATGAAAACCAATCTTAAAGTCCACATGATATCAAAATTTACAATGCTTATTTTGCTAGCTCACAGTGTTATTCTGTGAAGTTAATTTACGGGAAAAAACGGTTTGTTTTGTCTTCAATTAAATATTGAACACTACCACGCTTGAAGTGGCAGTTCTTCTGTAAACTTTAACATTAAGGCTTCCATAGCAACTGCATATTAATACCTTCTCTAACCGTTAGTTTGCTATAAGGGAACGATTCGCCAATGAAAGCCCAGCCCACAACTCAATATTCTGTTTCAGTTGGAAGTGCATCAACATAATGAAATAAAAGTCTTCCGGCAACTTCCAGAGCACGCTTACTTTAAGTTCTAGATCAACTAAAACCAAAAACATCAAGCAAATCCAGATGTTTAGTGCTCTCTCACACCAACATAAACAACACACATCTGTTAGGTGGGCCTTGCTTTGCTCTCTCTTTAAGCCTAAGCAGCCGTTCTTTCTTTTGAGCAAGGCCGAATCCCACAGTAAACACTTCTCTAGGCCGTATTGCAGCTCCCTACTGCGCTGAACTCATCACGAGTAATGGAAAATTCCAGCACAGTAATAAACACTAGCACTCGGCCTCTGGTTAGTGCCCACACAGAACAGCTCGATTATCAGCCGTATTTATTCAGCGTGTGTGTGGGAGAGAGTTTACTCATGTTTGTAAATCAACACCAGGGTTTAGTGTGCGGCTGAATGAAATGCCCTGTTAACTGTTTAGTGTCTTGCTCACAGGTGAGACTCAGCTGTGTGTTGTTTATACAGTTATGTGCATGATTGATGGCTGTAATATTGGGGTAAAATAGAGGAGAGAAAAAAAAGGAAGAAATGAGGAAGATCAGAGAGAGGGGAGAGGGAATGAGTGTTAACAGACGTCATGTTGAAATATTTATGCATATAATTAAGTGGATTACCTTACATAATGATTCAACAAACAACTAGCAGAATATGAAATACATGTTGATGTAGTCAATGATGTAGGGTTGGGTCGATAGTCGATGCCATCACCAACAGACATCATGATGCTAAGTCGGCATCACGATCCTCCGCCCCGGGCCCGTTACAGCAACAACCCACTCGTGAAAAGCACACACTTAGGCCCCGTTTACATTAATACGTCTTTACGTAGGCCTCTCCACACTGGGTTTTACCTAGCATTTCTAAACAGCTCTCCATTCACACAATACCGCTGAAAATGCGTCCACACGATCACATGACAATACACACACACACTCTGGTACACGCTCCAGTGGTATACGTGCAAGTCTAAGCTCCAGGCAGTCAGCGGGGGCTTCGAGCACAAAGCCCCAAAGAGCAGTACACATCCGACAGTTTATCAAGGATGTACTGCTGGATCGGGTCTAACGATAGTTGTTAAACTTGATATTTAATTCATCTTGTCTTTATCTAACGACTCTTCTGTCTTTTGAAAATTTCAGGTAATGTGTCACAGCGTCAGTGCACTGCTTTAATCTTTTGCTTTCACGCTTGAACTAAGTAATTTTAGAAAAAACCCTGAGATACTGTTGGTTGGTTGCTGTTTGTGGATGCCATTATAACGACACAGACCACTCTGCATATTCATACCAGTTCTGCGGAAAAAGTGATGGACAGGTGGTAATTTGTGTGTAAATTTATTGATTTATTTATGATTTGTTTGTGACTAAAACAAATACTATGTGGGTCAGGTAGTTGAAATGATAAGCTACAAATAATTAATTCATCATGAATTCCTTAATTATTCATAAATAATTAATTCACCACCTCCTGTGATGAAGATGCCATCATACATCACAATGTTTCATATTATACATCATACGATGCCAAATAGGACGACATCGCCCAACCCTATTCTAATATATTTTAAATTTGTCTTTTGCCAATTGGAAATATTGTCCTTTTTGTACAGAGGGATTGTTCTATAAAATTTATGTATTTTATATACAGTTGAAGCCAGATTTATGAGCCCTCCTGAATTATTAGTCCTCCTGTTTATTTCCCCCACAAATTCTGTTTATTTCTGTTTTTTTTTTTTTTTTTTAGCACATTTCTAAACATAATGGTTTGAATAACTAATTTCTAATAATGGATTTGTTTTATTTTTGCCATGACAGTAAATAATATTTTACTAGATTTTTTTCACGACACTTTTATACAGTTTAAGTGACATTTAAAGCAAACATGCTAATTTTACACAGAAATGCCCAGCCAAGACTCAAACCAGCAACCTTCTTGCCGTGAGACGACAGTGCTAACCACCGAGCCACCGTATCACCCCTGTTTTCAAATAACGTTTATTTTAGATTTCAGACATTTAAATGGAAGGAAGTTGTGCAAAATATAATTTAGTCTTTTCTTCTCCCAATAAAACAGCCGAGTAGTTTTAGAGTAGTTGATAAATTTACATGTTGTAAATCCAGCAGCTCTAATTTCTCCTCTGCAGTGCAGACAACCATGGCAGCACCAATCACGTATCATAGATTAAATAATATGATAATTATTCATTAATACATGCTTTTACGCATATTTAATAATTGAAATGTCAGATATTTCACAATATATTTAGGAAATTTGTAACAGAGGTGTGAACCTACAGTGGTTTGGTTACAATTATTACATCATCGGTTTTGTTCAATTCGATATCTCAGTTCATCAGGGTGCATTGACCATGCATTCCATACACAATTTTATATTTAATTCACAGCACAATCTTATATTAAAATCTATAAATATATTTATATGAATATATTAGTCGTAATACAATTTTGCCCTTTAATACAAAAAGTCAGATAAAAACTACCCTTAAAAACTCAAGGGGCTCTTTTTTGACAATCCATGCACAAAGTCCAAATCGCAGGGTGCAAAAGCATTAAGGGCGTGTCAGAATATACTTTTTCTATTTTTAGGACGGAGAAAATCTGCTTTGTGCTGTGGCACATGGTCTAACAGAGTTGAGCTTATTCTCTTAATGAGTTATAGGTGTGTTTTGAGAATAAACCAATATATCAGCTCATCTCCCATTCCCTTTATGAGTCAGTTGCGTCGCTCTATAGCGCATTTGCTATTCACATGGCGGACTTTGTAAGTGGAAAAACTGAATGCTTCAATAGAGAGAAAACAGTTAAACAGAGCATCTACAGCACAGGAATGAGAGATAAGCCTCCTAATTCTTTACTTTCACTTTCATTCTCGTGGATGGGGCGCACAGAC